ATCCCTACCGTGGTTTTTAGGGTCCCCCACTCTTCCATGGGACCCAGGACTATGGCAAATTACTTCAGGATGGAGAGCGGGGAGCAGACTGGAGAACCTCTGTTCTCCGGTCTGCTCTGTGTTAACAGTGAGACGGGAAAGCTGAAAGAGAACCCGTCACCTGCAAATGCTATCACACAGGGGGTTGTTAGCTCCTGTGTGATAGCAATAAAGTTAAGTGAACAAAAGTAAAAAATAAAATAAATAAAAATTTTAAATAGCTAAAAAGTAAAACATTTAAAAATAATAAGATAAATAATAATGAAAAAAGTAAATAGAAAAAAAATAAAAAAGTGATAAAAAGTAAACAATAAAATGAAAATGATAAAAAGTAAAATTTAACAAGATAAATAAAAATGTAAAAAATAATAATTTTACTGTTGGGGGTCACCACAACTTGGGAAATGTTACCAAGGGGTCCCAGCCCTAGAAAGGTTGAGAACCACTGTTCTATACTACCTGCAGCTGTCACAGTCTAGTTGGTTATCAGTAATGCAGAGTATAAAAACAATAGCTTCTATAGAGTTGGGCAGAACTATGTAAATTTTTCTTTCAAAATAGTCTTAAGCTGGCCATACACTATTAGAATTTAGATTGAACATTTGTTGTTGTTCTCTGTAGCATTCAATCTTTCCATCATTGAGCCAATCAATTTCACTTGAAAGCCCTTAAAATGTTCATTCAGACCTGCTACTTGTATGAAATCCCAGATGTATTAAAGGAGAACTATGAGGTGAGTGCTTTTCACTCACCTAATAGTTCTAGCCGACCTGTAACTTCCGGCGTCTCAGTATACCGCGAGCTGTAGCTCGCGGTATACTGAGCTTAGGGTAACGGGAGGATGCTAGTTTGTGTCCTCCCGTTACCCTAAGGAGAACTATGGGGAAAAACACTGACCCCATAGTTCTCCTTTAACCCCATAGTTCTCCTTTAATTAAACTGGTTTCTTTTGTACCTAGCACATGTGCATTACAATGTGCATGATTTTTACCGAACGGAAATCACATTCACAGTTAGAAAAATTTTCATCCTGCTCCTTCGATTTTTCTTGTCACTATAGTCAAACATGAACATCAATTAGACCTTGCATTCTACTGGTGTATGGCCACCATAAACATGTTGTAAGGGCAGCCTATGTTCCAAAATGTAATGCTTATGGGTCATTATTAAAAGATTCATAGCTGCAGAAAAAAAAATTGCTATCAATCTGTGAAAATGTGCTTACAAGATTCTGCAAATGTTCACGGATTGATAGCAATCTTTTCTCAGCAGCTATGGATATTTTTTTTCTTTTGTGGAACACATATGATATCATAGTTTCAAATGACATCTATTTTTAGTCTAGCTGAGCAGGTTTGTTTTGATAACAGAAAGGAGCAATAAAACAGACATGGGGCTTAACATGCAGTAACACATGACCCTAATGCCACAAAGGTTAATTGCTTTAACTTTACCACACTTTGCCTGCCTAAAGCAAGATGTGAGGTCTTTTGTAACAGCAGCACTTTATAGCTATCTAATTCATGATTTGGGTATGCTTATAAAGCCTCAAGAGTAATATAGGCTTAGCTAGCCCCCTGGCAAGCCAGACATCCTCCATATCAACCAGCTGCTCTTGGGGTCATGTATTCACAATACGACAATCAATATTAATGGGGAAAGCAAAAGGAGTTCACTTTTTTATGGGAGTCAAGACAGTTATATCTAACACATCAGG